CCAGAGGAGAGAGGCAGGGCAGGTGTGTAGAGGGAGGTGTTAGGAGAGGGGGTAGCTCACATGGTCAGAGTGGAGCAGGAGTCAGGACAGCACAGGAAGGTGAGTGGTTGGGGGCAGCACGCACCAGGGGAGCTGATGGAGCAAGAGGAGGAGACATGGCAGCAGAGGGAAGAGGTAGAGGTTTATAAGATATTTATTAATAACTTGGGTGCCACAGTGGCACATCCAAACAAGCCACATGAACTCAGTACTGGTGCACAACACAAAATTCATTCTGCTCATGGGAGGAAACTCTTAGAGGGAACACTTCCCCCAGCCTCTCTGCCCGCTCCGCCCCCAAGTTAATGTCACACACATTGGGGTAATGCAACTGCAGGGTTTGGGGGGGGGGGGGGCAAGCTAATCCCTATTGGTAGGAGGATAGTGAGAAAAGTCCTTGGGGGGGTGTCACATGACACCTTTTATTTCTGGTCATGTGTCCATCTTGCCGGAGAGTATTACCTCCAGAGGTGTGGCCAATGGGGCCAGGGGGCATGGTTAACAGGATCAGGGGTGTGGCTAATGGGAGTCAAACTACATTTTTTTTAAATTCTTTGGGTTTACACCCCAATGAAATGTCCTGCGCACGCCTATGGTGTGGACGCTGTGCGAGTTTGTGCACAAAAACTCTGCAGTGTAGACATAGCCTCAAGAGGTGATAATAAAAGGCGGATGTGAAGGGAACAATCCACAGACCCACCAAGAGCACCAGAGTTAATTAGGGGAGTGATTTCTGGAGCTGTTACAATGGACTGTATAGAAACCAAGTATTTAATATGGGGATAGAGCAACAAAAGGAACCAACTCTTAATTTCACAACTGCACATAGCCCTACTGACAGGTACATCGCCTTTTGAAAACTCAACTCCTTCTTTCTAAAGCTTCAACCTGACTCGGTCTCTGGGTTGTGGACATGGAAAAGTTTTGCAGTGCAGGGACAAAGGTATCTTACTCCCGATTTCCTATGTCCATAGGTCAGAGATATTGACCATCTCAAATCATATTACTGTCTGTGTAACATGTTGACTGAAGACACGTACCAAGACTAAATCTTCTAAAAACTTCAGTCAGTCTCCATTTCAGATAGAGAACAGAAGCAATGAAATCAATTTGGGCTGTACTATTTCAGGACACAGATGTAAATGCTTTTATTTCCATCAGAAAATCTACCTACCCAGAGAGTTGAAAACTCAACCCCACTCCAAATCACCGTGGGGCAGCATCTAACCTGGATTCTTCCATTAGTACCAAAGTCATGCAAAGCCAGATATCACTTGAGAGAAAAAAGTTACAGTAGTCATTAATTTGGAGAAATAGTATGGAGGGAGGGATGTGTGCAAAAGGAGAGGCAAAGATCAAGGCAGGGACAGAAACAGATCGATCTCTAGTTTGTTGTAGGTTGTTACAAAAGATGATGATTGTGTTGACTGTTCAACCAGTAGAAACCTCCCCATGCACCCTTTCTCCTATTTCAACTCCACTGTGTTTTCCTGCTTACAGTTTGCTTCCTCAGGGCTTTTTACTATCTGGCTCCTTTGGTTTCTGATCTAGTGGCCTTTCTCAGTTCCCGTACCAACAGCTTTAGTCGTACACTCCTCCTGCCTTTGAGGTGAGCTCCAAAGCTCCATTCCATCCACCTCATCCAGCCTTTCATCACATCCACATCCAGTGTTGTTTCATTCTCTGCTGAGAGAAAATGTGTCTCCCCCAGACTACACTAGCCTTCGTTCCACTCACTGTTTTCATTACACATTGCACCCTCCATGATAATTTCCACACAGTGAAAGGTATCCATTGGAATTCACTGTCTGTCTCCTATGGCCGTTCCCTTTTAACACCTGTTTTCCTCTGATTCTGTACCCAGTGAAGCTGGTTGGAGTCTTTGCATTGGTTTTAACAGGAGCAAGAACAGGTTTGTAAGGGTAAAATTCTGCCTTCACTGACACCTGCACAACCCATTAACTTGAGTGAGGTTGCACAGGAAATGTCTCTAGTTGTGCGCACAAATGTTATTACACAGGTGAGATGAGCTATGGCTTTCTGTTGGGAACAGCTTTCTGAATGGAAAGGTCTGGTCTATTTTAGTGAAACTAATAGAGTCTGGCTGGGAAATAGTTTTTTCTGAAGAGCATGTTGTCATTAGTGTCCAATCCTGAAGTCCTTCTGCTCTGAAAAACTTCACAGATTTGATGGGTGTTAGAAAAACTGGCTATGAACAGGAATACGTAGATGGTTATTGCCAGGACTTGACAAATTATGGAAAACCCTACTCTCCAGACAAAAAAGGGACTCGCCCCCCCCAAAAAGTGTTTTTAATGGCATAAATTCCTAATAAGAATAAGAACAGTAATTACTAATAAGTTATTAATAAATATCACCCAAGTTATTAATAAATATCTCATAATAAATAGCTCTACCTTTTCCCTCTGCTGCCCTGTCTCCTCCTCTTGCTCCATCTGCTCCCCTGGTGCCTGCTGCCCCCAAAGGGACTCGCCCCCCCCAAAAAGTGTTTTTAATGGCATAAATTCCTAATAAGAATAAGAACAGTAATTACTAATAAGTTATTAATAAATATCACCCAAGTTATTAATAAATATCTCATAATAAATAGCTCTACCTTTTCCCTCTGCTGCCCTGTCTCCTCCTCTTGCTCCATCTGCTCCCCTGGTGCCTGCTGCCCCCAACTCCTCACCCTCTTCTGCTGTCCTGACTCCTGCCC